TTTTTTTATCCTTTATAGAGCAAAGGAATTGTAAACAAAAGAGAAGCAATAGCTAATTTGAAATAACATTCTATATTATGTATATTGAGTCTCATGTATTTGATTCAAAATGAGCGTTAATTTGAAAAAGAACCAATGGGATCCCCCAAATCTCCTGAGTAATTTCCTAAATAAATGCATTTTTTAGAAATTAAACTTTGCTTTCTTAATGAACACATTTTGCAGAGATGAGTTATTGGTATTGTCAATTCAAATTACCAGTGGATCCTCCTTGCAAAAGAGCAGTCCCTTTTGAGGATTTATTGTAAAACAAAATAGTAGACAAGGATGCATCTTATTTGTTTTTTTTCCCCCAAAAGGATATATCATTAATGTGTTTGTAAGAACTAATATGCATGGCCCCCAAATTACATCTGTGGAGTCATTACAGAAAGTGCTTACTGTATTACCACATAATTAGATTCTGTATGCTGAATATATTATTTCAAAGCTGTCAGAAGAAGAATTACAGACCTTGTGTAACTCCACAGGAGTTGGTGACATGATTTCTTTCATTTCTTGCTTAATTTTTCTCAGCACCATGGACTTTCTCCCCACATCTGATGGCAATGTGTTGCTACGAGTAGCTTGACTGTAATGTGGCCTTACATTACTTCTTTCCTGGAAGCTGGCTTGTCTTCCCAGCTGGCTACGAGGCTGTGGGTTTTCATGAATCAAACTCATTGTACTTCCTGACATAATTGTGGCCTAGAGTATTAATGAACAGGTTAATTTATAACACAGAATGTGGGTTAAGTAAGTGGTTAATTCATAGCAGCAGGAAAAACGTCTCTATTCTTTGTTAAAACACAATCACTCAGGGCACAGCAAAAGGCAAGAGGATAGATGTTCAATCTGCTTGCAAGTCACTATAAAATAAAGGACCACAACAAACCACAACAACAATAACAGAACCCTATGGGTAAAAGTTTTCAGATGGCATTTCAAACTAAAATACTGAGCACTAGAATGACTATGCTTGTAAGCTAGTCTTGTGGCAGACTGAAGAGTGTGTAGTATAATTGCTTATTTAAAAAATATTTTATATGTAAATAAAATGACATTTACGTTGAAGCATAATTGCATTCATTGGAATTGAAGCTACAGGAAGGCATTTACAATTCAGAATGTGCGTGCAAGGTAAAAAAAGTGTGAGTCAGCAGAATATGTAGGCAGCTCTAGAGTCAGCAATGGCCCAGAGCGTGCCCAGATACAATCCCAGGCCAGGGAAAGCTCAGTGCAGTTAAGCTCACATCCTGGAATTAAACTGCATAATACGGATATTGCAAAAGTAACTGTCTCAGCTTAGCACTAATACTTCAGAGATATGAGCCCCTATCTCACTGCTGATTTTAAGCTCAGAAAAAGCTAGGCTTTAATGTTAGATGCAAGAATACATGGAGGCTGAAATCTTGAAAGACGACAAGAGCAGTCATCTCATCCACTGGACAGAACAGTCTGACACGAAAAGCACCTGTGCACAGCGAGGAGCCTCCTCCCTTGTGAAAGACTTCCTGCTCTGGGGACGGGAGGCAAACGTGCTTTGGCACAGTCACTGTCCAGAGGTGCCACCACTGGGATAGGGTACACTGAATTTCCTATTTGTTCTCCCTGGTGCCAATGGACAAGTTGGGAAATTAAAAGGCCATAACCTGAACTCTGACTGAGACAGGATGCAGGCAGCCTGCTTGAAAATTAGAAGTAAAAATGAAGGGGGGAAAACAGGCAAATAAACGTTTGCTTCTGACTCTGGTAAGCATATCTGTCACCCTTCTTTCTCCCAGCTCCAGCAATACTTTCACAATGAGATATTATGTTGTAGCCTTAACAGTCTCTCCGGTGCTCAGTAATGACTGATATTACTGCCTGATGGAACAAAGGATCTAGAGAACTTGGCAAACAATAATATTCTTTGCACTTTGGCTGAAGACCTTGAAATGAAAAATGAGAAAGAGTCCCTGACTACACAATGGCACTTCAAAAAATAGAGGCATTGCCATTCTTGGCATTATGTCATTCTGTACGAGCCTTGCTTTCTTTTCAGAGCTGTGGGTTGTGCAACAAGGCAATGCTATAAATGACACAGCATCTACAGTTCTGAATTCCACTTTTGTGAAAGGCTGAGAAAAATTCAACGTGTTGAAGTAACTGAATTCTGGTCAGTGTGAATGATCTATTTCCATTTTGGAATTATCTATTTCCATATCCTTTTATTGTGCTATGAATATTGAAAATTGCAAAAGAAGCCTGCGGTACTGAACCATATCTAACTATGGAATTAAACCAGTATAACATTTTCTCCTACATTTCTTTGGTTTGCAATAACAAATACATGAGAATTGCATTTTCCTACCCATACATGCAATACAAAAGCTGTAAATCTGAGGAAGTAAATTAATCTGAACTGAAAAACTTTCACCCAGTTATGCCATTCACATTCCTCCTGGCTTCTAAAGGACTTTATATAACATAAAAATGAAAATGAGATTCTGCCAGTTTTGCAGCTCCAGGAATTTAAAAGAACATAAAAGAAAATATTTTAGGACCTTTCATTCCGTAGCTTTAAGTGGCAGTATAATCTTAATTGTTCTGATTAGACAACTTAGAGAAAAGGTGATTAGAAAAATAAAGACTCAAACTTACTTTCTCTTTGTTCCCTTTCCCCCCTGCCCCCCTCACCATCTAACATGAAACACAGCTAGATTTGCAATTAACTTCAGGATGAAATGTGAAAATTTGTTACGTAATGAAGAAATTGCTGTACAGCGAACATTTCTCATAGTGGTGGCTTTTTTTGCAGCGTGGTAAGATTATAAGCAAACATTTTGAAAAGCTGATTTTCTTTTATGTTCATCTTAATCAAATTAAGTTTCAATTTAAAAGACAACCTACAACATGCTAAGAAAAGCTGCATAAAGCGTCTGTCAGAGAATGGGATGCATTGCTGCAGGAAGGTTATGCCCACTTAAGAAGTTCTGCGCCATTTGCTGCCTGTGCAGACAGCATCCATGGTTATGCACAGCAGAAGCTGCAAGTCAAAAGCTCTGGGGTGAACATGTTTATAGAATTTTGGTTGCATTGTACAAAAGAAAACAGCTCTGGTTAGGGGCGGGGGAGGCAGCTGCACAAGCAAAAATATAAAGGTAAAGGGTAGGTACCAAGAGAGTCATGTTTCTCAAACACAGACGCCTGTCAGCCTTGTCCTGTGGAGAGGGGTTAAAGCTTTTAAATGAATTGGTGTGATTAGTGCAACTTAAAAGAAAAAAAGGAGAAAATAAAATGAATGTAAACCAAACTAAAAACATTATATTTCTCTAGAATTGGAAAGAAAGGTTAAGATTGTTCTACCTCTAGTTCCCTCAGAATTCCTGACTGGCCACAGGTCTCTAAATCCTCCAGAGCCTGAGACCAGAAGTTTTCCTCCTGGTCAGCCTCGGTGTTATCATGGGTACCTGTGAAGCTAGATTTACAACGAGAGGTTAAAAAAATGTGGACTTTTTTCCGCTTGAAAAATATATTTTGCACACGTGCCTTGCCACAGATTGCAACTTGAATGACAGAACGTTACGGTAGGTAGGCAGGAGAGTGGGGAAGAGTCGCTGATCAGGACAGGCCAGATGGACATGCAGAGCACATGACAGACAAGTCTTCTCATAACCTGGCAGTCACTAGCAGCTGGCAGGATCTGAGCAGCGAGTTATTCAGTAAGGAGATAAATAGATTTCAAGAACAACTCCATACACATTTTACTGGATTGAAACTGGGACCTCTCTATGAAAATTAATGAATCAACCAGTAGCTGTGTGCAGAGCTGCTCTATGCAATGAGTATTCGCAATAAAACCTTTCAACCTCAGAGAGTTCTCCCTGGCAATATGAAAAGAGTCCTCATTTTTGCAAACAGCATTTTGCAAAAGAGGGATGCAATTGTCTTGGATGGAGACTTAGGTCTCTGGTGTTTCATAAACACACTGAAGCCTTACTACTAGCACTCTTGAGCAAGATGTTGGTGACAGCGATGCTTAGGGAAGGTGCCCAGCAAGAGAGGTCTGATAAAAAACGCCATGTCTGGACTGCAGCAACACAGCCCAAAGCAACACCATTACAGTGTATGTGTGTGTGGGGAGGAAGCAGGAGGTTTTTTGCTGTCTTAGGAAGGGGAATCAGCTCAACAAAAGTTCACACAAGCATCAGAGCTGCTGCACGGGAGGGAGCTGATTATGTGAAAGGCACAGGGGAAGGAGGAGCAAGGAAAGAATGAGAATTTGCCCTTTTGGTGGCAGCAAGTTGTTACTTTGGAGCAGCTGCCCATGGACTGCAGCTAGTGGTGCTCAACAGCACATGAACAGAGCAAACACTATTATGGAAGCATTTGAGGCCTTACTTGACAAGCAACATATTACTGAGAATAGTAGGAATGTAACACTGTTAACACAATAGCTTTTAAATAGGAGAACTGCCCAGCACAATGGACAACAGCTCGAATGCTTCACACACAATACTCTGCCTCAGAGATGCTTTCTTACAGTTATGATCAGTCAAGCAGACAATGGTCAGCCATTTCAAACTCTTATTGCAATGACTCTCCCATCTAACATCAGTGTTTCTTCTAAGATATTGCAATATATACAGAAATAGTGAGAATACCTACTCAGATCACAGATGCAATTCCTCTCAGGCAAGATAAGAAAGTATTTAAAACATGATTTTAGAAAGATCCTTGACTGCTGAAATTAGCTCTTTCAATAAACCTAAATAGTGATTTTAATAGCCAATGCTGAACATAGACTATATCCATTACAACACCTTTCTTTATATTGCATACTAATACTATAATATAAAATGGAACTTGAGTTAATGAACAGGATTATTTGAGGCAATTGTCTGTGACAGCAAAGCCTGGATTTCCTAGAACAGGAGATCCATTTCTTCTCCGACTTCTGTGAAATCTGAAATCATGATGCCTATACATCTGGACCTCTTTTTAGGTGAAGCAATTCCTTTTTCTGCACTCACCTCCTCTTTTACCTTTCCTTTGAGTCTTGTCTCTTGGTGTGTGAAATGCTCAACTTTTGCATCTCCATTACAGTCACATGAATAAATTGATTTGTAGCTGAGCTATTGCCCCAGAAAAAAAGAGGTACCAAAATAATTTCTCATCTAAATGGCTTTTTTTTTCCCTGAAACCTGAGAGATTGATTTTATGTCATGTGAAATATCGTTTGACCTATAACAAATATCTCTGATTTTCTGATGCTTATTCAAAGAGCCATCAGAAATTTAGATGCATAAAAATACTGAAGGAGAGGTAGTGGGACACATACAAAAACACAGGTGCCTATGATTTGGTTCTTATTGCCATATGAGAGAGACAATCTTTTTTTTTTTTTTTCTCTTTTTTTTTTCAAATTCAGGAGGTGATAGGGTGCTCTAGGATCTGACAAGCTCATTCCTGTAAGTACTGTTTTAATGTGCAAAGCATTTTCCCTGGAGCAGGAACTATAACAGATTTGTCCTACCTGCCAGTGATAGGTAGACACTAGGCTACAGAGCAGTTTAAGCTCTCTGGTTTCATTCGCTTGTCAACTGAAATTTCATCGTTACTCAATGGCATCTTAATGATGTGGTTTTTGCTTTTACCCTGTTTTGTCTTCTTCTTCTCATTTTAACTGTTTTTTATTTTTTTCCCACTTCCCCTCCTCCTCTGCCTCTGCCCAGCTTGGTCTCACTCCTGTGCACTCTTTGTTCTCATACCTGGAAGTATTCCACTCTTCTGGCTGTCCCCCACCTTTCCTTTGCCCACCAGAGGCACCTTTCCACAGCTTGCCCTCCTTCTTCATGCTCCTCATGCTCTCTCCCCCTGATCTTTCTATGGACGTTTGCTTCAAATGGTTTTCTTGAGGCTCTCCCAGTGTCTCAGGATCTTTCTGTTGCCACATATTCTTGGAAGTTGTGCTGCAGAAAATAAACGTAAGAAAAAATTACTTTTAGTGTTAAAGAAGAAGATAATTTGCTTAGTGAGAGGCAGAGAAGAGGTGGTTTTCTGGGGATTCCTGTAACAGGCTAGCAGAACAGACATGCCCTTCTCAAGTACTCCATCACTCCTCAGTACTTCTCAAGTACTCCATCACTTGGTATAGGAACACCATCAGGTGTGGCATAATCCATTTTATAGATGTAGGGTTAAAACTATCATTATTTTAATTTGTGCCATATATCTCAGGTGTAAGTCACAAGTAGAACAAGATTCTTTAATGTGCGTATTTTCTGCTGAATAGTGCTTTAAAATAGTAGAATGCATGCTTTCCATTTTACAATCCAGCTTCCCAGTTCACTGCTCACCAGCTTTTTCAGTCTATTACTTATGTAACTGCAAAATGGTAGGTGTTGTGGAATCTATGACTGCATCTCATCTGAGAAACGAAAGATGGGCTTTAACTGTGGATAAAGATACTATGAAATTAAAGATATTAACTTACCAAGACTGGGAGGTATGACTAAAACTACGGTCATTTCCTTTATTAAATATTGCCCACTACTAGCCTATGAAAACTCTAGTATGCTCCTGGCCAGTAAGGACCAAAGGAGATGGATGTGGATTGAGAGTTCACACTTGCCCAGATCTTAGCTATCATCTTGCCAGACTTGTTTCCAGACAAAATGCCACTGGGCAATCTGCTGTGTCAGAGGATTTGTCATTCAGATTCTGAAAAGCAGCACTGGCATCTAAGCCTTGCCTTGATTTGTATTTCAAAGCTAACAGACTGGACCTTATGGATTTACTTATTCAGTATGCTTATACAGGAACCAGAAATGTTTTCTTCAGTATTAAATTTTAATTTCTCATAGCCTGGAATTTCAGGCTTATTGTGCAGCTACACCAAGAAACTGTATTTCTAACGAAGGACATGCATGTCTGCAAGTCCTGAGCATGGATACAAAGAGCACAGAAATCTTTCTGACTGCAACGTCTGCCTTCCTTTGTCTGAGGAAGAACTGTTCTTGGGCAGGAATTACCCAAGTCTCTGCAGTGGTTCCACTGCCAGATCATCCTTAGAATACAGAATAAGAGACTTCTGGGGTTTTGGACCTTTCACGATCTCCAAGCATTGGTAACTAAGCATTTTTCCCCCAGGAAGTTATTTTGCCTGCAGAGAAATTAACTGAAGAGGAGATGTACTTCTCTGAAGAAGAGGAATGCAAACTACCACAGCTTCGGACAAGACATTTCTGCCTGGGTTGCTTTGTCCTCCTAGTGAATCACTGCAGATGTCTCAAGCATTTCTGGAAGAAGACTGTAATTTCTGCTGCTTTGCCCAAACCAAAATGAAGAATTTTCATGGAAGATGAGAGATTAACATGCCAGTTTTCTTTAGCTGCTTTATTTGTAGGTTTATTTTTGTGGAGTAGAAAATAGAGCACAGTTTTTTTGAAGCTTACCCAGAGGAATGGCCTTTTTTTTTTTTTTTCTTAATTCTTAAGAGATAAATGCTGTGGGTTTTTTTGTCTGAAGTAACTTAAAATAAATGTATGTCTTAGCTTTGATATCATAATCTTCCACAAATGTCACTTATCTACTCTAATAAATTTCATTAAGTATAAATACTATATCTCATATTTAAATGGAGAGCCATTACAGCTGCATTAGAAAAACAATTTCATTTCAGACAGTAAGTGTTCATTTTTGAGGCACTGCTGTAGCTGCAAATCAGAAAATAGAAACTTGTATATGAACTTACCTGCTTGCTGTAGGTCGGTCCCACTCATCATCACTCAGCCCTGTATCATGAAATGGGTGGCTTCGTGGTTTGCTTGGAGGGGACAAACTAGTCTGTTTAGGACTCCTCCATTCATAGGCATTGAAGTTGTATCCTGAAGCCTGATAGCTGTGTCCTAGAAAGATAAATTATATATTTACAACACTGTACATGTTGTGATGACAGTAAAGCACATTTTTGAAGCCGAGTTCTCTAGAACTTGGATGTGGACCCATGATTGCTACCTTTTTCTTTGCAGTTGTAGTCAAATATTTAGAAGAATAAATTACCTAAATTATACCTGAAATTAGGTGGGATCTAGAGCTTCTCCTGTTGAAGTCCACTGAAAGTAAAAACCTTAAATATATCCAACGCTGTTGTCCTACTGTTTGTGTCTCAGCTGCTTCTGCTGTTTAGTTCTGGGCTTTTTTGCAATTTATTAATTTCCAATTTGACATCACACATTGAATTCTAGTGAATATTATGGGTGTGTTAACTATGTGCTAACATGTAATGTGTAACATGCTCAAAATTAAACCTAGGTTATTAAGAAAATGTGCTTCAGATCTATTGGAAAAGGTTTGCAAGGATGCATTAAAAAAACAATCAACTTGACTTTACAGATAACTAGAAATGACTTTTTCCTGGTAACTTTCTCAAATTTGGAAGCAATGCAATGTCAACTATGCACAGTACTACTAATCTGCAGAATGGCTACCTAGATGCAAAAGTTGTCGTGGTGCAGAGGCTCTCAAATGACCATGTAATGTGAGTAATGTGAGAACAGGAAGGCAGCTGTCTCAGCACCACCACTGAGGCAAGGACTCATGAATACAAGCGCAGGACTGTTGCTGTCACTGCCCTGCATAGAGGCCAACATGGGAATCTCCGTAGCCATGCCCCTTTCCGGAAGGGAGACTTGCACTTTGCAGAGCTACTACTTTTTGCTAGGGCTCCAATAGCTGAGAAAAGGCCCATCTCACAACAGGCACACATGCCTGGGACCAATATACACCCTTAGAAAGCTCACCTTCCAGAAAGTGATTTCTCTATCAGCCGTTTCTAAGTATCTCAAGGCTGTGTAAGTGGCATCAGACGGCCTTTATATCTGAAGAGTTTATTTCTGGGTGCTTTTATCATACAAGCAATGTTAGTATTAGTTCAATAGTATTTCTTTAACTGAATTAAGCATAATTTGAATTCCAAGTAGGAATCAGACAGTCTGGCTTCAAAGCGATGTATCAGGAAGAACACACAGATTGACTTGTCACAAGCTGATGTTGATCTGGTAAACAAAATCCATTGCAGTAGAGCTGCTATATAATGTATTTCATCTTGACATACTCCTTTTCAAGCTCTACAGTTGGCATTTCTGATGTGCATGTTGGATTAGGAAGTCCTATTTTGTTGATGACTAACAAATATCATTGCCATCACCTCTCTAAAGAGGGCAATTGGCTTCCATAAATCAGTCTAGACCTGTCTTCCTCTACAGAGTTGCATGCATTTTCCAGCTAAATGGCAGACATTAACATATTCTCAGATTCTAGGAAGGGTTTTGGTTGTGAAAATTTGACTGCTGTGTGGGGAGGGTTATGGATTAGTAAGGCAGACACATTAGACAAAGGTACAAAATGGAGTATTAATTCAAGGAGAGAAAAGAATGCTCACCAGCATTAAATTAGCAACTAATAGGATAAAGCATTATCTGGTGCTCCAGAAACATTCCCCAAACTCCTCAATTTGCTTTGCCTATGCTTATGCCAAGAAAAGTTTGGAGAGAAGCCAAACTCAACTTGACGGGTCAAGTCAGAATGAACTTTAATAGAAATGTGGGTCACATCAGTACCACAGCAAGGGATAAGGTGCAAATCTGAGTACACTCGGGCTGTTTAGCAGAAGTGCCATGTACCCAGCCAAGTCTGGGCTGATTATTTCACGGGAGTTAGAAAAAACCTGCTTTGACATATTGGTTTAGGTATGGCATGGCATCTGAACCATAAGGACTTAGGAAAGCAGTCTGGGCCTCAATCCTTTCCACAGTTGAACAATTTGCTCCAAATATCATCACTTCACCCAGGAAATGAGAACTATCATTTTGGCACTTTTTCAGCAATACTTCTCCTTAGAACTTAAAAATACTAGATGAAAATCTAACATGATTTACTCTGATAAACTGACCAAAACAGTTAAAAACAGAAAATTCATTCTAACTCCAGTGAAATACAAATTATACAGGTGGAAAATAGCCCAGTACACTGAGTAGTAAATGAAATGTTATATGTAACAGTAAATTAAAGGTAAAACGTTGAGAACAGGAGTTATAATTAAATGTATTGAGACTGTCTTGTTTAAAGTAAGTTGATGCCAAACATATGCAGTAAGGCTAAGAAATACTTAAAAATTAAAGAAGAGAAAAAAATGGTGACTAGTAGTGACATTCAGCTACTTCTTGATCTCAAGTTGCTCAGCAGGTTTCAAAGGAAATGTTCTGCTTTCCAGAAGAAAGTGCCAGTGTTATCACTGAGCAGGCACATTAGAGAAGAGCAATGAAAGTAATCAGCACAGAACCTCAGTTTATATGGGAAATCTGCTGGGCAGAGCTCGGTTTCAGTTCTCTGTGAGGGTACAAAACAGCTGTCCATGAGCTACGACCTATGCTCCTGGAAAGCAACAGAAAGAAACAGAGAAATAAAATTGAAAGAATGTGTGCAACCAGAAAGGAAAAAAATATTTGAGGTATTGATCTACCTGTCCAAATACCTGCCAGGTAGTGGAAATATCTGCTTTACTATGGAAATAAAAAAAGAGAGTTAAGTAAAACACTGAAGCTGTGTGGAAGTTACTTTTCTTGTTATCTAGAATATTACAAGATGTCTGTATCCCACACTACCTACATAAATGTCTTGCACACTAAAATGAAATCATTTGAAAACCCTATATAAAACAACAGTCAAACAGAAGTAGAAAATATAGCATTATGGAAAATCATTCCTTTAAACAGAATGACCTTTTTGATGGCTGAAAGTTCGATGTCAGTGCTGCAGGAATGAGGAAGAAGCAGAAGATTTACAAACCATAAGCAATGCCTAATGTTCCCCTTCAGCAATTTATAATAAATCTGTTGTTAGTTAAAAATTACTGTGTAGGAGAATCAAATTCATGAACATCTTCATGTGTTCTGTTCCTTGCATTAACCTGTATTTAAAGATAAACTCCTTTAGCTGCGGATGAGCTATGGACTGGCTATTCAGACGTCAGTAAAGATAACAAAACCCTGTTAATATATTGATAAATGTTTCTTAACACTTCACATTGTCATAGAAGAATGAATGTGAGGCCAACCAAGTGTAAGAAATCATGTTGCCTGGTGAGGTGTGTGGTCATAATGAGACACCAGCACGTTACAAGGTACAAGGTTTAAATTGGTACAGATAAAGTTCTCTTTAAGGCAAAAGACAGTCAACCATGAAGACAGGAATTTATACCTTAAATGTCAATTGCATTCTTGACAGTACCTTGATTTCCAAAGCTGGTATCAATACCAGAACCATCCCATGACTCGACTGCGCTGTCAACACTTGGGACTGTAGTGGAATAGATGTCTGAGAGTTTGCTAGATTTCTGTGCAGCAGAGGTTTCATCTTCAGCATCGCTCAGTTCACTTATGTGACCCACAGGGACAGAAAATTTCTTGGGACTGGTAGCTGAATAGGATTATAAAAAAAGAAAAGGGGGTGGTGGTCATTGCTTTACTGCAGTTCTAAGAATATGCTTTCTACTACTGACACAATGTTTTTCCAGGGATGGCCTAAATGCTTGTTAATCTTTAACAACACAAACGTTAAAGACCACTCATTGATGCTACCCTTGGCCATACTCACCATCTGTCTGCTTCTTGATTTTCAAGGTGACAGTTTCTCCTGCCATCTGTAATAAATGAATGGCTTCACTCAAAGGTTTTCCTTTCAGACTGCTACTATTTATTGCTAGGATTCTATCTCCTATGTGAATTGCCCCAGTCCTACAATAAGAGAGAAGTAAAACACTCAGGAGCATAAAAAGCAACAAAAGCAATTTCTTTGCATATTTGGAGCATTAAAGTCTCATCTCCCTTTCTTTCTTTCATTTTGCTTTTATAGCTGTATTACAGAGTAATTCTTTTGTTAGAAACGCTTAAAGCAAGTCACCTTTGTTGTAGTGACAATAGCAGAGCTGAAGCATGGAGTCATGGATTTCTGTGCTACTATGGTAGTTGAGTTAATCACCTATGGATGATATTCATTGCAGCCCACCTGTTTAAGAGCAATCTCAGACAGCTCAGTAAATTCTGAAATGAGTCAAATTTCTAGAAGTCTCACAACATAACAGATAATGGCAGTGTGAGCAAGTAACCAGCTATTTCACCAGTGTGGCTTTCAGGATGGAACAATTCAAGAGAAGAAAATAAATTCTCTTTGTGTAAATGCCCTGTTTGCTCTGGCTACACACAATATCATGTTTTGTGTGCTGTAGTTCTCTCTGAAACCATCACCAAAGGTACAGTTGTAATGATGCTACCTACCCTAGAAATAACAGGCAACAGAAAACCTTAGCATTTTCATTATTCTCTGTACATCCTTTACCATAAGGAGCATTTCTGTTCCTCAGATAATGCTCGCTATGGTGTATGTAAGTGCACATACAGATGCCGTGTGTGTGTACAATAAGCAGCATATTTTCAGATAAACCAGACGATGAAGAGCTTTCCTTACCTATTCTACTCTACAAGGCTATTGCTTTTAAAAGGCTGCTGAAATGTTCCTATGACTGTGCAGTTTGACTGACTGGTCTTTTCTAGGTGATTTATAGTACGGACCACAATCCTCTGCTCTATCTTGTATAGTATGTGGAAGAATATCCTTTTAAGATATTCCTTGTGCTCTTGAACTTGGCAATGATCAAAAAATGACAACAAAAGGATTATAAACTCAGATTTGGAGAATTATAAAAAAATAAGTTGCTAAACCATGAAAATTACCATGTTCAGGTAAACAAATCTTCATCTTGACAAAAGGAATGCTTAAAAATAATTTGCTTTCCAATTTACCTTTCAGCTAATCCTCCTTTTGTAAGGCTGGAAATGATTATGGGATCAAAGGGCTCTTCAGTACCAGAGATTGTAATTCCAAGAGGCCCACCATAGCGTTTGAGCTCAACAGTATAAATAATTGCTCCAGAGCTCTCCTGTTCATCTGCAATAAATGCCAAGGGGATGCAATTGGTTTCTTATGAAAGAGGGAATGAAAAAAAATAGCACATTCAGTCTAGTAAATGGTAATCTAACAACATTTTCAAAGGATTATATTTCAGATACACTTCTTAATCACGTTCTACTGGATTATTTAGAAAAAAATTTTCTCTTTTGTGCAATTTTTTTTTATTGACAAAACCTGATTACATTGAAGTCATCAGAAAAACTCCCCTCATTCTCTTAAGATTAAATTTTACTCTGTTTAAAATTTTTATATCTTCTTTCTTATTAAAATGTAACTTCAGGCTATTTTATGACAGAATCACAGAATGGCTGAGGTTGGAAGGGACTCCTGGAGATCACATGGTCCAACCCTCCCTGCCCAAGCAGGGCCACCTAGAGTAGGTTGCCCAGGACTATCTTCACAGGGCTTCTGAGTATCTTGAAGGATGAAGACTCCACAACCACTCTGGCCAACCTGTGCCAGTGCTCAGTCACCCTCACAGTAAAAAAGTGTTTCCTGATGTTCAGGAAGAACCTCCTGTGCTTCAGTTTGTGTCCACTGCCTCTTGTCCTGTCACTGGGCACCACCGAAAAAAGCCTGGCTCTGTTTTCGTTACACCATCCCTTCAGCTATTTATGTACATTTATAAGACCCCCCTGAGCCTCCTCCAGGCTGAATGGTCTCAGCTCTCTCAGCTTTTCCTCATAGGAGAGAGAGATGGTCTAGCCTCTTCATCATCTTTATGGCCCTTCCCTGGACTTGCTCCAGTATATCTGTGTCTCTCTTGCACTGGGGAGCCCAGGACTGGACTCATCACTCCCGGTGTGTCTCACCAGTGCTGAGCAGAGGGGAAGGATCACCTCCCTTGACCTGCTGGCAATGCTCTCCCTGATGCAGCCCAGGAGGCTGTTGGCCTTCTTTGCTGCAAGGGCACATTATTAGAGAAAAGACAACTTAGTACTGTTGTATAAATACTGCTACTCATCTGTTTCTTGAACTGAATGGAAGGTATTTAGAACCAAAGATAATTCAAAAGTTTTAAAACCAAACTCCCTTAAAAGAATTGTGGAAAAAGTCAAGAGTCATAAGATGAGCAGCTGTCTTATTAAAACAGTCTGCAATATATCCCGTGTTTTTGATAGACAAGTTTTAAGCTTTTGTAACAGAATCAGAAATAACTTCTGAATTTTGAATTATCAACTAAGTTGAATAATAACTCCATCAGATTTTATTTCAATATATTGCATGAAGTAATTTGCATTATTTTCAAATTTTAGTTTCACCAAACAATCCTCAGGAATGGAGAAGAATTTATCACTAGGTAATCTTAAACACTATGTATTTTCCTTAAACAATACCCAACAAGTGGTGCAGCAACAAGAAAGGCTCCTGTATTTATACAGTGCCTGCTCATATTATAAAAAAAAAATCACAGCAGGAGAGCAATCAGCTGTTGTATCTTTGAGTTGTGAAGGGATATTTTAAAATTTGAAATGTCAGATTTCCCCTCAGATCAAAATAACAAATGCTCCCTTGCCCATCTTATGATATTGGTATTCAGCCAGAATGTCTGGCCTGGTGGGCAAATTTTCCTGGATTTGTGGGTAATGACATTTTGAACACCTTACCAAGTGTGGAAAATGTCTAGGATGCACATTCTCTAAATATTACTAGAACTAATCTGAGACAAGTTAGAAAATTCGAATGTTCCCATTTCTGTTCCTGTAGACAGAAAAACTTTAAAAGGAAAAAAGATACCTGCATCTCTAGCAAAGGTTCAAGGAGTTGCTTTCTTCTAACACTGAACATAGTACTTAAGCAGAGCTGGGAAACACTAATATCTTTGGAAGTACTTTGTTTCTTCCCAATTTGCAGAAAATTTAGGCCTTTAGCCCCCCATCCCTCAATTCCCTCCTGTTTCACCCTTACTATCCACATAAAGAAAATGGTACACATGTAGAATCAAAGTAGAGAAGAATTAGTGGTGTTCATCCAGCAAAGAATATTGGGATCTTCATGCCTAGTGTGGCCTTGTATTCCTACTCGGGGCACTGTCATCAGTGTTGTGGCACAGCTCACATCAACTACGCTTTATCTGACACTTTCCAGAAGCACCCAACTCCCAAGACCCCATTGGAAGCTTCTGGCTGGCATACAGTGTGCTAGCATGTAAGCTGCCACTGCACAGCAGAAGAGTGGCAGCTCTTGCTTGCTTGCTAAAGCATTTATGGAACAACAACAAATCCTCTGGGATCTAATGCTGACAATGTTTACAAAAGTGTGGCACTGACATGGTACAAGACTTCAACTGAAGGAGGAAAAGTAATCCACCAAGCTAACTGAAAATGTAATAGCTGCTATTTGCTAAGGGTCGAGACAATACTGATGTTTCTCTGCTATCAACAGGAAGTGAATAAGAAGTTATTAATCATACAGCAGCACTGCCACGTAACAGTTGGAAGTTTACAGTTCTTAGTGAATGACTGGAAAGGAGACTGGTGACATTGACAGCAACAGAAAATGTGTACCAACTTCAATGGAAATGGAGCTGTCCTAGAAAAGATAAAGTCCACAAAGTGAGAGGGAGTGGGGAGGTTGACATGACACACACAGGACGAACCCGCAAGTGCTTAGAAGTGTGTGGGAAGTTACTACTTCTTCTACATGGCTCTAACTCATGTCCTTCTTCTATGGTCTGTTGGTAATTTCTCTGCACGGTTATTAATGAGAGGAAGTCTTCCAAATGAGGGGAAGAAGTCGAAGAAAGGATCCTAGGTGTCATGAACACCTAGAAGACAGACCCCTCTTGTGCAGGAGGAAACTCAAACTTCCTGCTACAAGTATTTTTGCTAGCAATCTTCTGCCAAGTGTAGTTGCAGTTTGCTCTTCATAACATACCTGGTTTGCTTAGTTTTGCAAAGTAACTGTCAGTCAGGTGTCCCTTTGGATGTACAGCCCATGGCCAGTTTGGCCAGCTTTTGTCCAAGATCACAGAATGTCAGGGGTTGGAAGGGACCTCAAAAGATCATCTAGCGCAGGAACACCTAGATGAGATCACACAGGAAGGCGTCCAGGCGGGTTTTGAATGTCCCCAGAGAAGAAGACTCCACAACCTCCCTGGGCAGCCTGTTCCAGTGCTCTGCTACCCTCACCACAAAGAAGTTTCTTCTCAAGTTTAAGTGGAACCTCCTGTGTTACAGCTTGCACCCATTGCTCCTTGTCTTATCATTGGTTGCCACCGAGAAGAATCTGGCTCCATCCTCGTGACACTCACCCTTTACATATTTATAAACAATAATGAGGTCACCCCTCAGTCTCCTCCAAACTAAGGAGACCCAGCTCCCTCAGCCTTTCCTCATAAGGGAGATGTTCCACTCCCTTAATGATATTTGTGGCTCTGGACTGGACTCTCTCAAGCAGTTCCCTGTCCTTCCTGAACTGTGGGGCCCAGAACTGGACACAAGATGAAACAACTATGTGTAGCAAATCCCACCTCACCACCTGTAGGGACCTAACCACAATGTCCTGCTGAGCAGTGACCACTCACTTTTCTGGATCAAAATTTACTTCTGAAAGCAAATTTGCACAAGGTGTTAAATGCATCTGCTTTTGCTTTGTTCTGATCATACTGAGAAGATACTTGCTGTTTGCTTTCAAAAGCAATTAAATGAAAAGAGCATTCTAGTGCAATTCTAAAAACCATTTCCATAGTTGCACTTGATTTTAAATAATGAAGTGTGGCAGACTATGCCTTTTTGCTGGGAGATTGTATAGAGCTTAAGACAACTGAATCTACAGTTCATGCTTTTGTGTAATGCTGTAATATAAATCCCAGCAGTAATGATAATTGTCTAACTTCCCTTGCCACTAGAATGCATAACAGAACTTGCTTTATTATCTCCAGGCAGAAATTCTGCTCTTACGGATTCCATAATGGGGAAGATGCAGGATTATTAATAGATGTGTGCAAAATAATGGCAGTTCCATCACTTCCGCTGGGCTGATCAGACACGGCTCCTCCCATCAGCCATCCAGCACAGCCTGTAAAGTACTGCTTACCCTTAAGCATGTGAACAGTCATACTGAAGCCAAGTTAGTAAGTTTATGGATAAAGCATGCACTTCACCACTCTGCTGGAGAATTGAGGCCTATGAATCCATGTTTTGCTAACCATTATTCTAATCTTAAAAGCAGAGAAAATCTCAATACGCTGATAAGAGAAAGATCAACCTTATATGGCTGCACCTGAGGGGAAACTGCCTTTCCAGAAAACTGAAGACCTCATCTTGCAGTGCAGCTCCTCCGGCAGGCAATATAGCCACTGAGAAAATGCAACACTTTATATACCATTAAAATTCTTTTTAGCTTGACATTTTCTGATTAGCATTAGCACAAATAAGCCATGCTTAGAAAAAAATATCACTAAAATTTAAATGCAAAAGAATAACTCTGTGTTCTAAGAATCCTGAAAATATACGAGAATCTGCAATAGGCTCATTGCTAATACCAGAATTATCTTCATCTTTGCGGATCTTTAACTTTACAAGGTCCTCACAGTGCTGAAGGATCTGGACAGCATCTTCCATTGAGCAATTGTCAAGTCGAATGTTATCTATTGCAAGCAACTTATCACCCAGTTCGAGTGTCCCAGTTCTGTGAATAAGCAAACAAGCTTACATGAAATTCTAGTAATACTAAAGCAAGGTATGTCAGAAGGTATAGATATTATTAGAGAAATGAGATGGATTTTTAAAAACAATTATTTCTTAATATGCTGGACATTTCATTTGTAACTATTCTTTACAAAATAAATGCACAAATCTCTTACAAGCTCCCTCTGTTTAACTTGAGTCTGGTTGGATAAACAATGGAAACAGATTTTTACCGGGAGCTTGAATGTCTTACCTGTGAGCAACACTCCCTTTCTTGATATCAGAAATAACCAGAGGGTCCCCTGGTTTTCTACTGGATGGAGCTGTAATAAAGAATACATACAAATATCTGTTTTTTTATTTCTAGAGATGCAGATGAACTAATTCTGTCCAAAAATGAATATTTAATACACATTATTTACCTGTATTATATTTCTCCCCTTTCCCTAAATTCTATGTACATGAATGCAAATAAACAGCGGCAGCATATTAGTAAGACTGTATACTCCTCCAAAATTAGAAAATGCCAGAATTAAGTTGACTGGTGGAAAGTGAATTTAACCTGATATGTTTGAATTCTGGGTTAGGCCAGGACTGAACCACGTGAAGATATCATGGTATAGCTCCAGTGATCTATGATAAAATGCTGTGTAGCTACAACACATAAGGGAAGAGCTTCTGTTGGCAGAACCTTTCAGCACAACTACTGATGCAGATCTTTTGCCAGAATATTTCTGTCAGTCATAAATCATGTTTTATTATATCCCTGACCAACAGAGCTGCTGTGGCACAAATTCCATAGAGTGGGCTAGACCACACTCTTTATATCCACTCCTGTCTCATTTAGTGCTTAAGGCAGAGGTATGAAGGAAGTGCTTGCCTGGGTGAGAAAGGAAGTATCTGCTTCACAATAAATAAGATGCTGTGGAAAACTGCCATGCATACCACTGGGCTGATACACAGTATCACATATGCACAGATGTAGCTTACAACAGATGAATGCTTGCTTCACTGTGACTCGCTGCTTCCTCTCCATATGTACCCCTTTTCAGGAGCAACACTGCTCCTCTACTCTGCTGCTGGGCCTTAAGCATGGTGGACTTTTCCCCACTACGTACTGGGGATACCTACTAGAACTCCATCAATTCCAGCAATGGTCAAATTAGTAAAACCCGCACCAGTCCTCTCCTTGCACACTTAACTCATGTCTTCTGGGAGGTATCTGACATAATTCTCAATTTGTTATTTGTCCACCACAGTGAAAAAGACGCTCTGCTCTACAACACCAGTCATTGTTTTTCTCTACTAATTTGTGCAGAAGTATTTGACAAGTTTCCCCTGACCAGTTGTGCAAGCCATTTGCAAAACTGCTTAGCAATTTTGCTTGACTTCTGGTTGCATGGGAAACAGGTAACTGCTCCAGGGGAAGAAGATAACAATTACTGACTACTTCCAGAAGAACGTTTCTTGGAGCAGCTTCACTGAGTGCCTTGTTTTGGAGGGTTCATCCATTTGCTGACAGAAGACCCCACTGAAGATCTGATATGGTAAGCAGTGGGCTCAGAACTGGAGGGTGATGAAAAATACATTTTTAGTGAATGGTGTGGGACTTGCTCTCTGCCACTGAGAAGTTCAGTTCTCCTGAAAGCACTAAGTAGGGCTCTTCAGCTGCCCCCAGGTAAGTTCTGCTCTGTGTACTGAGGCATCTGCATTCATTCACAGAAGGTACTTTTCCATTAGGTTCTAATGCCTAACAGACAATCACCCAAAAAGCTACCCATATTGGAGGATCACCTACAAAATCCTGATGGCAGTTACTTTAGCAGCTCATGATTTTTCTCTTTGATGGAAAATGTCAGATCTTCACCTACAGCAACCACAAGGTGTATTAATTATGACATCTTGTTAACCTTGGCTGCCCTTGGCCAAGAAAGCCTTTGAACATCCAAAGGAACTGTTTAAAAACTGCTAAATAACCATATTTCAAACACAGTGTCTTGAAAGTCCAGAAGACAGACGTATAAGGGCTTACAATAATTTTTAGAAACTTGTCTAAAAAAGCATGCTTTCAGGAAATGCCTAGGTTGCGATTTAGAGAACAGCAATTAACTTTTTGCAAGATGTGTAATTTTCATAGCTTGTTTCTCATACTTTAATGCCACAGGTCAGCTAGATCTTATATGAAAGTCCCATGATTTACTTGAATTCTTTGGGTTTGTTTCACCAATTAGAATCTTCTTAAAATTTTAAACTACCACTTTGGTGAACTTTTTCTTTAAAAAAAAAAAAAAAAAATCTATCTTTTTACCCTCCGGGTTGCCTTATAAATCTCTGAGGTTATATGCCACCCACTGTACAATGTCTGCAGTTTGAGATTTGAATATTGAAATAGTTTTTATGAAACTGCTTTATAAAAATTACCAATACTAAAGAAAACAGTCCATTATTGTTCCAAAAAGAAGAGAAAAGGAACCAAAACAGAGGAAAGAGCACAACTCAAAGTGTGAAGTCACAGAATACAAGTGGATGCAAAGGGTACGACATTGCACACAAAGTTATTACAGTTTCAAACAGAGTAAGTGTGAATCAGTGGTATTTTGTCAGGTATCCTGGGCTATTAATTGTGTCTGGTGGATGAAAGCCTTTTTGTAGGCAGCAAGCACAGCTCAGTGTGAAATTAATCCCCCCATGCTGGCAAGCCCTTAATAAGCAGTTACACCACAGTTTGTTTTATTCTTCTTCAATGCTTATGACATACTTACTAAAAACTATTCAAGTTGTATTGCAGAGATAAAATCATTAATTTCCTCCCGAACTTTTGCACTGTGTATTACCACAGTCTAAGATTGCCTCCCAAATACTACTGAACAGATCCTGCCCCCAGCAAGAAGATTGAGTACCATTATCCTGATTTTACAGATAAGGAAAGGAAACGTAGGAACACTTAGGTCAAAGTATGACAATTTTCGGCAAGCAATTTGAGATATCCATGCCTTTATTCCTCATAGTAGTTTGTAGTATATAACACCTTCTATGTCCAAAGCACAACTACTGGCATTTTCAGCAACAGCTGCAGATGCTCAGCGTTTTCTGCAAGTGTGACCCCAGGATTTTAACAGTTTCTCCAGAAAAATCAAGCAGCCACTTGTGGAAAATCTCTCTCTTTCTCTCTCTTTCTCACCCTCCCTCCCTCCCTCCCTCCCCATGAAAAAATTAGCATCTCAGCATAACTCTACTGCAGAAAAAAGGAAAATCCCCTAATTTCCCCAGGGTAGCATTAAACCATTTTGACCATGAGATCACCTCCTTTTCCTTTCTGCAATCCTCCACCTCATTCATTATGCAGCCTCCATCCCCTTTGATACACACGACTGTTTCATCTCTCTCCAGGGAGCAGAGAAGCAAGAGTCCCAGTGAGAAAGTAGTATTTGACCACTTAATTAAAAAAGATATCCTCATGAATTAACACAAGTTCAAAGTGACACTGTGCAGCCTTAAGTCCTATTTTATGTTTGCTTTCATAATTATTTTTGATTTTAAGAAGCAATTAAAAACAATCTCAATCAAACATTATCAAGAGCACAAACAAGCATAAATACTTGAGATTCACTAGGCAGATCCAGGTGACAGAATTACATGGCAGAGGGTCAGCGAGAAAGATGAGAGATACTTCAGCATTTACTGCTACTAGAAATGCTGTAAAAGTCCTTGAGATTTAGTTTTGGGAAAAGAGAGGGCTTCAGTCCCTTGTACAGTTAGTCTCTGCACTCAAATCCATGCCAGGTCCACTTTCCACAGTCTCTCTTTCCTTGTAATCTCTGCTTCAGAGTCTGAGAGGCCACATGCATGTATACGCAGGTACCGCCCTGGTGGTACTTTCCCCTGCCACTAGCATAACAGCTCCTTGTCACACCTGCTTCTTTCTCCTCACCTTACCACTCATCCATGTGAAGCCTTCTTGTTCTAGTTACAGGTTGCCCTACACTTAATCACACCTCAGCCTCTCCCCTTATTTGCTGTCTGCCTGGTATGGCTCTCCACTCATTTTCTCTCCTTGTCCATCAAAGATCTCATCTTTTCTCATCTTTTCTCCTCCCTGGTCCAGCTGTTAGTTTACCTACCGTAGAGCCTTTGTGGAGTCCTTACATAGATTGCATGATGAAGTGGACTGAAGAATGCATAAAGCTGTACAGATACTATATTTGTACCTGGAAGGCTGATCTTTTTAGCAAGTTGTTCGTTCTCTTTAAATTATTCTATGATCCTAGGTCTCTGTCCCAGGCCTCTACCCTACTCCTACTAAAGACACACTGCCTCTACCTATCTCTGGCCACTTGAAAGCAAGTTCAGTGAAGTGTTGTCAGTTTAGTAGATGAGCTGTTCTGTTAGGTTAAACCTCCCCTCTCCCAACCCTCTTTTCTTATTTCACTGTTAATCCAAAGTAAAAAACAATGTGACTTAGATTTTAGGGTGGACATCTCATCTACTATCCAGCCAAAACCCACTTACTAGTCTCAGCCCGGCTTCAAGTTTTGGTGTTTGATCAAACTCTGAAAAAACTGAAGCAGCAGAGGAAAATGCTCATGGGATGGAAAAATATTTTTTATACAAAGCAAGTCCCCTTATCTACAATGCTGGTTAATAGGTACTAGACTTTTTTAAAATAGTGTGATTATTAAATAGATGAAAGAGCTTTTTAAAATGAGACTGATGTAGCTCTTTTGTTCCTTAACTATTGGTTCATGTGGAGCAGCTAAGAAACCTGTTGATTCTTCAGGTCCTGTCTTGAAAATAATTGCTTGCAAAATGAAACCCAGTTTGCTTGGTGAAATCCTAAAATATACTGAAACATTCTTTAGAAAATCAGTTCTCATAGTTAATGCTAAATATCTATAGATATTTACAAAGCTTGTTTCCAATGAACTATGAAAGCTACAAAGCAGACTATAGTACAGTTGCTAGTCAAAATGACTTAGAAAAACTAATGATAGTTTGGGTGAGATTCTGATATTCTCACCAGCTTTGCAGCTTCTTATTCCTTGAGTAGTCCCATTAGCTTCAGAGAGATTATTTATGAATCAAGGTGCTGCAGTTCATTATCAGTAAGAATATCAGAATCTTACTTAAGAAAGGGGAAAAAAAAGAAGTTAACTACAATTACCAGACTGTACTATTAAGACATTTTCTCAGACTTCATTCAATGTATTTAAAAAATATCAGTCCATGATAAAGTAGCCAGCAGCACAAAAAATTATCTTTAAAAAAAATAAATCTATATTCCATTACATGGTCTGAAATCACTGGCAAGGAAATTGAAACAGATTTGAACACTACTAGGTCTACTTGAAAGCGATCCTTCTTCTAGAGAATGGTTCTGTTATAAAAGCATAATCACACACACATGGACACCGCTGTGTCATGCTTTATTTGGATGACGTAATTTTAAGAACTGAGACATTCTAATTGTTCCAACTAGGTAACTGAGGATGAAGATGACAGTAGCTGAACCATGAAATATATAGTCACTTATATTTGCAAACTATGAAATATGCTCGTTATTGAGTGTAAGTAGCTATTAATGGGAAGATTAGACTGATATTGCAGAGATAAGGGAAGGACGACAGGATGATAGAAGCCTAGTATGTCTGTGAAGGCAGTAACAGGCATGGCCAGTATAGCGTGAGATACCCGTCATGCACTATCCAAAACTCAGTGCCCTGATTTAACATTAAATCAGGAAGGGGCTACAGTGATGGCCCCTGTGAGAAGCTTCATGAAGCTCCCCTGGCTCCAAGGCATACTCGCCTCCAGCCCAGGCTGAGCTAATTAGCAATAGAGAAACACATCTGTGAATCCATATGTATGGAGAGAGAACCTGGAGGAGAGGCCATTGACCTGAACAAAAGACAACCAATGGCCTAAAAAAGAGAGCGCTTTGTTGCCAGGAGGAAGGACAAGGAAAGGGAGGACAGAGAACCTCAGACACTCAGTTCAACTGCATGGAGTAGGAGAAGGTAAATGAGGTCCCCGGCAGCCCACGGAGGTTCAACAACGGAGCAGATACCCATGGGTAGGCCATGGAGGACTTCATGCTGGAGCAGGAAGCTGAGCCCAAGGGCAAGTGTGATTGAATTGATACCCCAGAGACACTCAATGCCAGAGTGGGGGGGGGAACCCCAGAGCTTGGGGGGGAGGAGGTGCACTGGACTGGACACCTGTCTGCAGCCCATGGATGTCCCCATGCTGGACCTGGGAGCTGAGCCTGAATAGGTCTGTGACTCCATGGGAAGCTTGCTTTGGAACACTTTGTTCCTGGCAGCCTGAGGGAAGGACTTTCATGCCAGAAAGAGCAGCAATGGTGAACTGACTGCAATCCCCATTCCCTGTCCGCTGTGCCCCTCCAGTGGGGAGAAGACAGAGAAATCGGGAACAAAGTAATGTGAGCTCGGGAAGAAGGGAGGGGTGGGGGAAGGTGTCTTAAGATGTGGTTGTTATGTCTCACTGTGCTACTTGGATGAACGGCAATGAATTACATTGATTTTTCTTCCCCAAGTTGAGTCCGTTTTGCCCATGACCAGAACTGGCGAGTGAGCCGTTCTTGTCCTCATTTTTTTAAATCCATGACCCCTTTGTTGTGATTCCTTTCCCATCTCTCTGGGTAGGGGGGAAAGA